TATGACGATAATGAGTATAATGATGATAATCATAAAAATAATGACAATAATGATAATAATGATGATGATGATAATAGAGTCCATTTATAATCAAATATGGGCTAAAAGGGATAAAATCCCAGCAGTTGAAAAATCGGCAAAATCGCCTTTTGAGAGAAACGCCGAAAAAAAACGTTTCCGCTTTTAAAGGGTAATTATGGTGATTTTAACATTAATTCAGGTAATTTTAATGATTTTCATGATAATTACTTTATTATTGACAATAATGATGATAATTATGATGATAATGACATTAAAAATTATGAGGATAATAGTGATAATTATCATTATAGAAATAGTTATAATGATGAAAATAACAATAACAGTCAGCATAATTATTATTATAACTGCAATAATGATAATAATAATGATAATTATGACGATAATGATTATAATGCTAATCATAAAAAATAATGACAATAATAATAATAATGATGATAATAATAGTAGAGTCCATTTATAATAAAATAAGGGCTAAAAGGGATAAAATCAAAATGTCAAAAAAAAAAAAAACGGCAAAAACGTCGAAAAAAAAACTTTTCACTTTAAAAGGGTAATTATAATGATTTTAACATTAATTCAGGTAATTATTATGATTTTCATGATAATTACTTTATTATTGACAATAATGATGATAATTCTGATGATAATGATAATAATAATGATAAATAAAGGCTAAAATGATAATTATAAAGATGATTATGATAATTACTGCAATAATAACAATAATTAACTATTTTAATTATTTTCATACTAATAATGGTCATAGAATTAACAATAATATCATCATCATTGTCATTATGAGTATTATTATTGTCATTATCATTTCTAAAATCATTATAGAAATAGTTATAATGATGAAAATAACAATAATAATCAGCATAATGATTATTATAACTACAATAATGATAATAATGATAATCATGACGATAATGACTATAATGATGATAATAATAAAAGATAATGAAAATAATGATAATAATGATGATGATGATAATAGAGTCTATTTATAATGAAATAAGGGCTAAAAGGGATAAAATCCCATAAGTCGAGAAAATGGCAAAATCTAGCTTATTACAGCCTTTTGAGAGAAAAGTAGAAAAAAACCTTTTTCGCTTTTAAAGGGTAATTAGGATGATTTTAACATTAATTCACGTAATTATGATGATTTTCATATTTACTTTATTGTTGACATTAATGATGATAATTATGATGATAATGACAATAATAATGATAATAAGGATAATTATACGGATACTGCAGTAATAGCAATAATTAACTCTATTCTAATTATTTCCATACTAACAATGGACATAGAATTAACAATAATATCATTATCATTGTCATTATGTTTATTGTTATTGGCATTATCAATCCTAAAATTATCATTATTATTATCATTACAGAAATAGTTATAATGATAAAAATAACAATAATAATAAACACAATGATTATTATAACTGCAATAATGATAAAAATATTAATGATAATTAAGACCATAATGACTATAATGATGACTATAATAATAAAAATAATGACAGTAATGATAATAATGATGATGATAATAATAATAATAGAGTCCATTTATAATAAAGTAAGTCGAAAAAACGGCAAAATCTAGCGTATTTCAGCCTTTTGTGAGAAACGTCGAAAAATAACCTTTTTCGCTTTTAAAGGGTAATTATAATTATTTTAACATTAATTAAGGAAATGATGATGATTTTCATGATAATTGCTTCATTATTGACAATAATGATGATAATTATGATGATGATGATAATAGTAATGATAATAATGATAAAATGATAATCATAATAATAATTATGATAACTACTGCAGTTATAGCACTAATTAACTCTATTTCTTAATTTATTTCCATTCTAACAATGGACATAAGATTAACAATAATATCATTATCATTGTCATTAGGATTATTGTTATTGTCATTATCATTTTCTAATACTTCAAAATATCATTATTTATTATTATTATAGAAATATTCAAAAAAGGATGAAAATAACCCAAAATAAACAATAATCCAGCACTAATGATCACTATAACTGCAATAATGCAAAATAAAGATAATTATGACGATAATGAGTATAATGATGACTATAATCATAAAAATAATGACAATAATGATAATAATGAAGATTATAATAATAATGAAGTCCATTTATAATGAAATAAGGTTAAGGGTTCCAAAGGTCGAACCGGGCAAAATTCGGTATTTTACAGCCTTTTAAGAGGACACGTCGAAGAAACCCCTTTTCGCTTTAAACAGGGTAATTATGTGTAATTAACATTATTGCGGTAATTTATGATGATTTTCA